CTCAAGATGAGGATGAGTAATAAAGTTATTAACTATTCATGAAAGCGTGCGCTCCAAGTATTCACTTGCAGTAAAGCCGTATTTTCAGGTTCCACATTTTTTACTATTAGGCATAAAGTGTGGCCAACATATTCGCAGCCTATGGCAATTTTTATTATTTTGTGAGTGTAAACAAATTTTTGGTAATTAACCTTAAAACCGTTCTAAAATAATGTCATGTGCCCATTCAGAGAGCGCCAAATTCGAAAGACCACATTGGAATGACAAAAATTACATGAAAATATATCAGAAAAATTCATCATGAAAACTTGTTAGGAATTATATTTTATCTTCCTGTGCAGCTGCTACTCAACAACCTTGGAAAAATCGCTATTTCTTAGAAATTTTTCAGGAATATCAAAATTTCTGAATTTCGTCTTCTCAATGGCTCTACTGACTAAGGCCGGGCTTAATTATCTTCAGATAAACTTGCTGGTAACTATCTGCAAAATAAATTCCCCGTTCCATAATTCTATTGGTCGGCGGATAACTGGCTGACCAGTGGGATTACAGATTGCGTTTTTATCCGTCAGACTGCATGTCTGGCTATCAGAAGGTGAATAAACCGGCACTTAGTATTAAAAGTATCGATCAAAAGAAGATATACTTTTAATTCTGTTTTTGGAAATTACAAAACTAAATTTGGAAAAATAACTTTTTCAATAACGCTTGCTTGGTACCTACTTTTATTCAGATAAAGTCAGAAAGTCAATTTCAGCGTTCATAATTATTATATTTCATTCATTCATTCATTATTATATTTCACTCCATGACTGTGAAATTGTTTAATTTGGCATATTATGAATCAATTTTTCTACTTTCTAGAAAAAAAGTCAACGGTTTTGTACGCATTTTTTTTTTCTTCAACCGCTGTTGTAAAATATTTCTTCGATTTTTGCCATGTTTCCTACATCGACAACGGGACCAGGATTCTAGGAAATTAGTTGTTTATGTTTGGGAGTACGTCTTTTCTCGGAATTCTATTATCTTCAATAAAAATGTTTGTTGTGTTCACTTCAGTAATGAGTATTGTTGTACCTAGTCAGTTTGATATGATTTGTGCTGTACGTTCCAATAAGTGATAAGTAAATTTTATTTGCGGACTTGCAAGGTCAAAAACAGTAGGAGTTTGTATAGTTGGCAACACGGAAAGTTGCTCGATCTTGCTGCTATTGGCGTCGCATCCACAGACTATATGCTTGTTAGTTTCGTCTTCTTCAAATCAAATCAAATCAAATCAAATTATGCTTTATTGTCTTAACTGAATTGCTATTGGCATAGCGGCCTTATTAACTAACATGACTACTTACTATGTCATAATCATAACATGAGAAAAAAATCTTTTAAATGCCTTAAATACTACATTACAACAATATTGTTCCTGTCACAATCTACCATTATTATTGCCTTAAAAACTAAAAATCAGTCGTTTTCAGTCCTCTTAAAAAAATGAAACGAAAAATAAAATAAAAAAAAGACAACGGATTTAGAAGTTTGAACAATAAAACAAATTAACAACTATACCGCACACTATAAACATAAAAGTCCAGAAAAACACTCCAAATCTAAAACCTGTCCGCCAGAAATTCGTCAGTTTCGTAATATGTCTTTTGAGCAACCAGCGCCTTGCCCCCTTTACGAAACTGTCGTTCGTCTTTATTTGTTTAAGACCCGTCGGCAGATGACTGAACAACTTGCGACTTCTGAAAATGATAGAGTCTCTTACCTGGCTAGAAGTGGGTATAGAAAGGCTAACATCATTTTTCTGTCGAGTATTATAGGTTGTATGCGATATGAATGTACTGCTTTTGTGTTTCCTGTGAATTAAGCAAACCGATTCTAACACAAATAATGCAGGAAGAGTCAAAATATTTTCAGAAATAAATAGCGGCCTGCAAGAATCGCGTGGGTTGGCTCCACATAAATATCTAATTGCTCTCTTCTGCAGCAAAAAAATGCCATCAAATAACTGCTCAGAGCAAGTAACCCAGAAACACAGCCCATACCTCAAATGAGACTCTATCAAAGCGAAATAAGTATTTCTGGCAATACATGGTTCCAGTTCCCTAGAAATAACTCCAAGTGCAAAAAAAATTAGATGCCAACCTATTCCTCAAACACTTCAAGTGTGGTTCAAATTTCAGACGATTATTTATCCAGAGACCAAAAAATTTATTTTCCGCAGATGGAGTTAATAAACTGTCATTCAAACAGATAACAGATGTCAGTAAGGCTACATTTAAAATTCATTACATTTGTTTTAGATATATTTAACGTCAGCCCATTAGCGTCACACCAGTGTTTAATCACAACTAAGTCATTACTGACCGCATCCCGTAATCTAGAGCTGTCAGAGTTATGCCACAATATTTTTGCGTCATCAGCAAACAAAGTAAAATTTCCAGAGATATCAAGGCCTGCAAAGTCATACACATATAACAAAAATAAAGCTGAACCCAAAACAGAACCCTGAGGAACGCCACAATTCAACACTTGCTCGCCAGACATTGAAACATCAAAAGAGACCCTCTGTGTCCTGCCTGCCAAATAACTCTCGAACCAGTTGAGCGCTTCCTCCAAATCCGTATGATTGCAGCTTCCACAACAATTTCCCATGATCAGCACAGTCAAATGCCTTTGGCAGATCACAGAAAACCGCCGCTGCCACATCAGCATGGTTAAGATTCAGGTACAGCGATTCCAGAAACGAGAAAATGGCATCACTAGTCCCTTTGGAGGTCTGAAACCCAAACTGCTCCTGCGCTAGAATGTTGTTTTTTTCCAAGTAACCAACAACACGATTCCTAACAATCTTTTCAATTATTTTGCTAAGCGTTGGCAAGAGTGCCACAGGTCTATAATTCGAGGGACACTCCTCATCACCCCCCTTAAATATTGGAATTATCGTTGCCAATTTCAAGGTTGTGGGAAATACTCCAGTACATAATGAGTGGTTTATGAAACTGACCAAAACCTCACGAGCTTGCATAGGAAGTTTCAAAAATAACCTTATTGATATTTCGTCCCAACCCGATGCAGCATTTAATTTGATGTACTTAAATATAATATTTATTTCGAATATGTCAGTAGGAGCAAGAAAAAAGGACCCCGAGGGTGGTTAATACTTAAAGAAATACCTATGATCGTAAGTAGCCCAAATTTGGGAAGACAAACTTCCTGCGACATTACAATAAAAATCATTCAATTTGGCTGATGTAAGTTTAGACCCTGAATCTTCACATTTACTACCTTTCCCCCGAAGCTCGTTGCCGATCTTCCAGGTTTCCTTTTGTAGATTCTTGGATCCCGCAATTCTATCATGATAATAGTTCTGCTTGGCTATTCTGATTGATTTTTCTATTTATCGTCCTATATTTATTAAAGTAAGAAATAAATAGTGGATTCTTCATATTAAACTTCCTAATATAGTGCAGTGATCTCATGTTTTTTGCTGATATCTTTATGCCCCTTATGAACCAAGGCTTATCAATTTTCTTTTTCTTTTTTAAAACTCTTGAGGGGAATGCTCTATCAAAATGCATATATAATAATTTATGAAATTCTCCCAATGGTTCAAAATTATTCCACCAACTGCCAGTTTTCGCCGTTACACAGTTGCAAAAATGTTTCATAATTATTTTTGCAGTAGACCGTTCCCTTCTTAAACCTTTTTGCATTCCATTTTTTTTTATTGCAAATGTACAATAAATTGCCTCATGGTCTGAGATTCCCGCATTCACAACCTGAGCTTGAAAACTGTTTGATTCCACATTGCTGCATACATAATCTATGAGAGTCGCCGAATGTGGAGTGATTCTTGTAGGCTTCTCAACAATTAAGTTAAGGTCAAGAGAGGACAAGAGATCGGATAATAAAACCGTTTTAGGATTCAATGGCTCCAAGAAGTTAATATTAAGATCACCACACAAAATAATTGTAGACCTTGATTCTAAACCCAACAAAAAAATCTCAAGTTTGAACAAAAAATCGCCTAAAAAACTGCTAGGAGAGCGATACATGCACAAAACATAGAGACTGAGTTCTTTACAAAAAATCATAGAAAACTTAAATTCCCTTTCCTCCAACAAATAGTCAAAATTATCTACATGAGCAAAACAGCACAATTCCAAAAACTCGTCCCTAATAAAAAAAACATTGTCCCTCCATGCTGCACAGTAGGTCGACAATAGCTACTCAATACAGTATAATGTGGCAAAGAAACTATGGCTCATTGGGCCTAAGCCAATGCTCACAGAACAATACTAAGTCTGGATTTCGTAAATGATCCAAAAAAACTAGAAGTTCATCCACTTTATTGCGAAGAGACTGCACATTTGGAAGGACTAGAGAGAAGCTGTCCGAATTAAGCCCGCGCCTAAAAAAAATGAGTCTTCACTATTACTTTCCAAGTCCTGCTGATATGAATCAGACTCTACCCTGTCCAATCTAACAAAATTATTGATTATTTTACACTCCCTATAGCGCTCCTCTTCACCATTTACCCCGTTCTCCTGTAGCTCCCTCCGCTCATTCACACTACTTGACCTCGAGATCCTTTGTGTTGGTATTCTAGAATTTGTTATAAAGTACTGGGAAGAGTCAGTATTTGTTTCTGTAAGTTTCTTCCTTCTTATTGCAGCATTTTCCCAGGGCCCAGAGTAGAGCCGCAACAGCTGCTGGATCTATAGCACATCTCTGCTTTTTTATATCATTATCGATTGTCAAACGTAGAAAAAATGTACCTTTTCCATATTTGGAAAGTCAGCTCTTATTAAAACGTCTTACTTATTCAAACCTTTAAATAAATAAAAAAATCCAGCAAATACCTATTCGATTCTATTTGAAAAGGATGTCCCAATAATTTTCCGTTTTCAAATTACTGTGGATATAAATAAAGCGAATGTTTCACGGTTTTCGGGAAATACAATAAAAAGCTCCAGTTTGAAATTATATTGTTACAGTGGCCGTTTACGAGGGGGAGCATCTGAATCTGACCCGCATTAGCAGAACCGAGATGGGTGTTTACCTTTGCATCGCGACGAACGGAGTGCCGCCGTCTGTCAGCAAGAGGGTGGTCGTCGACGTTGAATGTAAGTATCTTTTTCCCCAGCTTTACACCTTCGTTTATTGTTCTACATGTTTTCTAATTGCCTACCGGGCCTGCCTGTGAAAGGGTTTATAGTATTGCTTGAATATTTTAAATGAGAGTGACGCGATAAATTTTAATTTATGCCATATAGAAACGAAACAGTTTTTGAAATTGTCAGCAATTTCTTTTTATATTATAAAAAATGTCCATATTTGAAATTTCAGGAGCAGTGCCAGGGGGCCTAGGGGCGGAGTTGATATTAGGAGGTTGACCAACATAAAATCAAATTAAATATATCTCTTTGAAATTGGCCTGTACCTACCAAATAAAGTTTTAATTGGTTAACAAACCATGAAATAATAATAGATATATATTTTTTTTTGTTATTTTTGGGCTTGAAAAAGACTTGATTAAAGTTGAAACGTTGCCGAAATGAAAACGTTTTATGGTCCTTTAAATCAATTTACTCAAAATAAATGATAGTATTCTAGAAGATTTTTTTTGCACGTGACAATTGTTAACTCTTTCATCTGTATGAGAGATATTTTCTGGACTCTGCCATTATTATTGTAGTAAACTCACCCTATATTTAAGTTGATGGTACCGTTCTGTATACATTCCAATGCTTTTTGTTATATTGTTTACATTAACAGTACCCAGAAATTTATCAATTATTCACCTACCATTCAGCAACGAAATAAGGCGTTTGATTTATCCCGCAAATAATGAATTGAAGAAATTATAAATCAAGTCAATTTATTACATTAAATTATTAAAAAATGTCGATTGGCAAATTGGAACCTTTCAAAATCGGCGAGGGAAATTGGACTTCATACATAACAAGAATGGAGCAGTATTTCAAAGTGAACAAACACTATTAAAGAAGAAATGAAGCCAGCGATTCTGATTACTGCAGTAGGGGACGAGGTTTTTGAGTTAATACCTTTGTAGTCCAGAGAAACCAGAAGGTCAGACTTTCGTCGGGTTGGTAAGCTTACTAAAAGATCATCTTCAGCCAACTCGGTCGGAGATCGCCGAACGATACAAATTTCGCTAAAGGAGACAAGATAATGGAGAATCCATGGCAAGCTATATTGCGACGTTGAAGAAATTATCCAAAAATTGCAACTTTGGGGCTAATTTGGGAACACAACTCCGTGACCAGCTGTTTTTTGGCCTTCGAAATGACGCGGTAAGACAACGCCTTTTTCAGGAAAAAAAATTAACCTACAAAGTGGCCCACGACATTGCCGTAAATATGGAAGAGGCGGAAATAAATTCAGTCTTGAGTGCACCAGAAGGAAATGTCCAGCATGTATCCAGAACACAAAAAACATCGGCACCAATCCAAGGAAAATCTAGCTATTTTCCCAATAATGATGCCGCCATTGTGGAAAAACGAATCACTATAGCCAAATATGTTCCTTCAAGGATGTCAGGTGCACTTTATGCAAGAAAAGATGCCACATTTCATCAGTGTGCATTTGAAATAAAGGTAAAAACTTCAAATTTAATAAATTTCGTGATTAAGCAGAAGACAGAGTTAATTCTGATGATTCCGAGGAAGAATTGAATTTTTTTAATACAACACATAAATCCGAAAAACATCTTAATATAAAATTAAAGGTGGAAAGTGTGTCAATTTCAATGGAGGTCGATACTGGATCACCAATTTCTGCTATTTCGGATGAATTTTATGTAGATCATTTCAAAAATATACCACGTTAAATGCTTCAAAATTCAATTTAAAATCATATGCGTGACTTGTTAAATACTCTAGGGTTTATCTGTGTAAGCGTGGGATCACGAAAATATTGTGAAGAAGTTGAAATTATTTGTCGTAAAAAATGAACGTCCTCCAAATATTGGCAGAAATTGCATCAGAAATTTAAATATCTCGGTAGATAATCTACTTAATATTAATCAGTTAACACAATGTCAAATAACGGAAGCTTCTATAACTGTCAAATCTAAATTTCCGGAAGTTTTTGCCGAAGGTTTAGGGAAATTTAATGAAGGCTTGGCAACTTTGCATTTAAACAGTAATTAGTAATTCAGTACCTGTTTTCTGTAAAGCGCGGGATTTGGCTGTAGCGTTAAAAAATTAAGTCGAAAACGAATTAATCAATTTAATCAAATTACATATTTTAACCCCTGTGGAATTTAGTGATTGGAACACACCAATTGTATCAGTTTTGAAAAAAACCGGCAAGGTGCGCATCTGTGGGGATTACAAAATTACTTTAAACCCTAAATTATAGGTCGATAATTACCCAATTCCAAAAATGGAGCACCGGAGCACTTTTTCTCGAAATTAAACAAGGGCCAATATTTTAGTAAAATTGATCTATCTCAGGCATATGCCCACATTGAACTGACAGACGAATCGAAGGCTCTGACAGTTTTGAACACACATAAGGGGCTTTTTCAAATGAACAGGCTTCCTTATGGGATGGCTTCAAGTCCGGGTATTTTTCAGGGAATAATTGAATGTATGTTTGCAGGTATGAATAACGTTGCCATTTTTTTGGATGATATTCTTATCACGGGAAAAATCTCTAAAAATCATTTCAAAAACCTTTTTAAGGTATTTGAAAAATTGCGTAATTGCGGATTGAGGATGATAATTTCTAAATGTGCATTTTTTCAAAAAGAAATACATTTTTTAGGCTATACCATAAATAAATTCGGTTGGACTACATCATCTGATAAGGTTGAAGCTATACTAAAAGTTCCAACATCAACTGATATCACAACTTTGAAATCGTTTTTGGGTTTGGTTAACTTTTTCGGTAAATTAATTCCAAATTTAAGTACCAAGTTGCATCCTTTACACACCCTTTTAAAAAAACACTCACATTGGAAATGGGAAAAATTGCAAGATAAGTGTTTTGATCAAATGAAAAAAGAATTAGCTTCTCCCAAATTGCTAGCGCATTATGATCCCAATTTACCAATTTTTGTGGCTTGTGATGCATGCGAGTTCATATGCTTCAGGAGGGGTGATATCCAGCTATAAGTTTTTGCTTAAAAAAATTCCACGATTATCTCTTTGGTAGATTTTTCACCCATTTATGTGATAATAAAGTATTAGTAAATATATTTGGCCCTAAAAAAGTATCCACATTTATGCAGCCAGTAGATTGCAAAGATGTGGTGTTATTTAAGGTACCTACAATTACGAAATTAAATTTATCAAATCGGAAGAAAATATTGCGGATGCATTGTCACGTTTACCCTCAAAAACGAAACAGGAAGGAAATTGCGATTATTCACATATTTTTTATTTAGAAGAAAACCTTCAAATCGACTATAAAAAATTTGCTTTGTAGGTATACAAAAAAGGATCCAGTTTTAAATATTATTTTTGGTTATTGTCCACACGGTTGGCCAGAAAAAAACGAAATTTTGGATACATTTTTATTGTAAACGTGACCAAATGCATTTGGAACATGGCTGTATTTTATGGGGGTATAGGGTGGTGGTTCCCGAGAAATTGAAATCATTTTTATTGGATGAAATTCACTTGAGTCATATATGGGCATAAATAAATGTAAAGCTATGGCTCGATCGTAATTTTGGTAGCCTAATATTGACTTAGATATCGAAAAAATGTGCAAAGAATGTCCTACTTGTAATTCTGTAGCGATGGATCCACGAAAGGTACCCTTACACCCTTGGCCCTATGAAAACAAGCCTTGGAGTCGACTACATTTGAATTTCATGGGCCCCATATATAGTAATAAATATTTGATTGTTATTGATTCATTTAGTAAATGGCCTGCAGTTTTTAAAGCTAATCCTAGTGATGAATGTTATCAAAATGTTGACTCATTTGTTTGGGTTGCCAACAAAAGTGGTATCCGATAATGGATAGGCCCCCCTTCACTTCATTCGATTTTTAGCAATATTTGAGACTAAATGGAATTAGATAATTATTTTCCACCCCCAAGCATGCTCAAACCAACGGGCAAGCGGAAAATTCCGTAATTTTTTTAAAAATAGCCCTTGAAAAAGCCATGTTTGATAAAGAAGGCCTCGATTTATTTTTGGAAAATTGTTTGTTTGCTACAGAAACACGCCACACTGTGTAACAGGCGTGAGCCCTGCCCAATCTATATTTCAAAGAAATTTAAGAAATAAACTTGATTTAATTAGACCAGATTCAAGACAAATTATTCAGGAAAACATTGAAAAACAAAAGGAATATTTTGGGGGAACCTGGAGAGAGTTCAATATTGGTGATAACGTTTTTTTTTTTAAGATTAGAAAAATCAGGGAAATTCAACTTGGTAAGAAGGGAAATTAATAGGCGAGGAAGGCTCGGTAATATTTGATATAAAAAATAAAGAAGGAAGAGAGTATGGACGTCATTCTAATCAACTTCCAAAATCGATTTAAAAAAATACTATGGCTAGTTCTGCGAGTCCTTCCATTTTTCAGACGATTCAACTTTGCACCATACAGAAACGGAATACATTTTTTCCGAAGATATTTCTGAAAAACTTCCTTCGACTTCTCAGCTAGATACTTATAATTCTACACCAAGTGTAATTACCTCTAGGTATAATTTAGGATCTCAAAAAAAAAAATATAAATACTGATTCTGAGGCTGTGAACGATAATTGAAGCTAATAGTCTAGGAAAATTGTCGATTTTCAAAAAAAAAAAACTCCTACCCAAATAAATTTTTCAGGAATAATAGGGGTCGGGTGGGTGATCATAAAACCGAAGATATCACATATTCACCCCTCTGGCATTTTGCGCTATAGGGGTTAAAAGTGCGCCACTGGCGATTACTTGGTACCTATTGATTTTACAAAAAAATGTTTCAAATAAAAAATGTGCAACATTATTTGATCAACAGTATTTATTTAAAGACTTTTTTGATTAGGGGCCGTTTGAATTTTACAATGAAAATAAAAAATTTTAACCTAAGGGAAGTCTCCCCCCGCTGAATGGGGGTGAATTAAAAAAAAAGTTGATAAGGAAAAATTGTAG